ATAACTTCCTTACAAACTATGAACCAAACACTAAAAAACTTCATTATTGTACCAGTGTCTATCGCCATATCAAGTTTAAGTCAGGGAGAACCACTGCTGAAATGATCACTGACTCAAAATACATTAAAATAAAATGCCGAACGCTCTCTCACTACAATACTTGTAGATATCCTCATATGTTTGTATTAGATAATGTTAGAATTTGTCACATAAACGGAAAATGTGTTTAACAATATATATTTTATATGATTAAATTGTATTAAATGAGATCTCCTGTAAATACAATATCTACATTATAGATATTGTACAAATTTATCTATATTTTTATCTAGGATTACTAGGATGTGAATGGACAATCCAACTCTTGAGACTTTGAAAACAAAGCGAAAACCACCTCAAAACAATTCAGTACTGCAAGATTTCAAGTAGAAAAATTAATCTACTTCAAAGTTTAACCAGAAGTATATTGTCTATGATTATTTTCGAAACCACAAAATGAAAACCCTGTACAACACACATATAAACAATTTCAAACGCTTAACTGTTTTAAGTATTACTTAGTTCAAGATTTTATTTAAAACTGATTTATTTAAAACTGATAATTTAATTATGATTTAACAAACATAATTATGAATGGCTTTTACAATAAATTAAATTACATTTTAAATTAATGATTTCAATTTAATGAATAGTTTTGAATATATGAATATTTGTTTTTATATATCTAATACGCGCGCCTTGATGGTATAATGTACCAAGAAGTACAGAATGATCCGGATGGCATGTTATGTGAAAGCCAGCATACCATATCTGATCCAGACAACTTTTAACATATTTAACGATTTCATCGACTGTTTTCAGCGCCTTTATGCCATCACGGAGAAATTCCAGTATATAATTCATTTCTATTTGGTTCAAATTACATTCTTCGATTTCTAGGTCAAGAACCGTCATTTTGTTTAACTAGATAAACACTTTAGCTTAAAAGTCCTTCAAACTAAACGCAATAAAATTAAAATAAACTTAGATTCCATTATCAATAAAACAAACATTTGTAAAGAGAACTTACCGAAAATAACCAACGAAGTCCACAACAATTTTCTTGAGAAGTCTTTAACTTCAAAACGATGGGACTACTTTTTATGAACTTTTAGAAATAGGAATCAAGAAGTACTTTGGCGCGACGACAGAGTTCGTAAATTTTTAAAAAGCTTAACCAAAAAATCAGACAACTGATAATATTGGTCACTAAATAAATCTTATGGCCCCAAAGTATTGTAGGAGTTTCGAGTTAAGAAATAATCTTTATGAAAAATAAAATATATTTCTTTGACTTGAAGTTAACTCAGATGAAATACAATTTTTTATATTCAAGTTATTTTAATTTTTTGACATAAAGTGCAATGAACATTCAAATTTTTTTTCCTTAAAATATATGATTGGCTTTTCCTCTCCAAATTATTTAAATTTAATTTTTGATGCAGTTTTATACTTGCCTTTTACAAAACTATGAACTTTGTCTATTATGAGGTGAGTAAGTATCGGCAGTAGTTATTCTTGGTAAAAATGCATTTTAGAAGGATCATTATGGCATGGTTTCTCTTTTCATTTTGAAATCTTACTTTCAGCAGAGTTTTAAAACACCAGGCTCCTACACATATCCTTCCATAACAAACAATACAGGAGCAAAGGAATAAAGCATTAATACAGGGAAATCGTTATGAATTTAAATGATAATATCCGGAATCAACACAACAGATCTGTAGTACTCATCAGACGCAGTATACTCTTTAATACTATTTTAAAATTGAGGATTAATTATCTGTTTTTGCTACAAAAGACTGCAGTTGAATATGCTCATACTATTCCCATTTGTCTATTGTATTTAGTAGGAGATGGGCATTACCCTTCAAACCTTTTAAAGGATGAAGCAGAGACAGGTTATCAGGTCATCGAAGAATGTTTCTAAATGTGGAAACTCCATTGATCAAAATAGAAAAGTGAATTTAGAGAGAATAGAGAATGACTAGATGACTAAATCATAAACAAGCAAAAATTTTATATAATTAAGCTTATCTTATCGTATCTTATCATATTTTGTTACAAAAATATAGTTTGTAATTTTTTAAACACCTTATATTAGTAGAAATCCCCTATATTTCTCATAAACTATGTATGTGCAAAGTTAAAGTTTTATAAATTTATTTTTTATGTACATTATTTTGTTTTTTAATTACTGCACATTTCTTAATAGCTTTCACTTTTTGACTTCGGTAAGAATTTTCAAAATTATAAATAAAACAATTATATATAATTAATGACGTGTATCGATAAAGCGCTTTCCAAGCCATTTATTTACAAAACACACAAAAATGGAGAACCTGCTACTAAAACCGTTTTCCAAAAAAGCTTAACCTAACCCCCTTTTACCTCCCAACAACCAAACATTCTAATTTGTTTTGTATAGTATGAAACCGACAGTAAAGCTTCTTAGTAATTTACTCTTTCTTTTGCCTTGTGCGAAAGTCCTTTAGGTATCGCAGATTTCCCACTTTTCGAAGGTAATTTTGTGACTATTTTCATAAAAGTTTTCTTTTCTTTCGCAAGTTTGCATTACAAAACATAAATTTTATTTATTAATAATTTATTGGATTGTATTTAATACAAAGCAACAACTCCAGGAACGGAACACTTGGAAACATTTAAAACATAATAAAATCGATAGGATCCCATAAAAAAACAACAACGCATTAGTAGAGGAAAGTGCTGGGTGCTGGCAGACAGCACCGAGGTTGTGTGCTACAGTACTTCACTTTATTGACATGCAATATAGTGTAGTATTCCTATTGAAATAACTGAAAGTGGAAGTTAATGAAATATATTATCATAGACTGGCACAGACTTTTTTATAAAATTGGGACCAGAGTTTATATTAGTCATGCCTACAGAAGCACAGGAGCGTTTTTTTTTTGATCATTTAATTACCGATGATGTAAATTTCATAAAAAATAATTGTAAAAGGATGGAGATTACGAATCTTCAATTACCAATTACCAATCACCAAACTTCAATTACAGGCACGCCTGCAATATTTTCACAAAACGAATATTAAGGCATGGTTGTGTACTGTTATAGATACATTAATTAACAGAGACTTGTTGTTTAAATAACATATTATCATGCGGAAATCTATGCTTGAAATTGAAGTGATTTTAATAAATTAATATATTCGTTACCCAATAATGAATAATGCGTTATGCTAGATTCAATATCGCAAGTTTTGTTGCGCATTTCTGTCGGGTCTGTCCGGTATTCGTAGACATAACAACTATAAATTCAAGTGACAATTCGATAGAGAACATCAAAATAACAGCGAAATATCACTATGACTATATGACTGTAGTAGAAAACTAAACCACTCAAAGGCATAATCTTATCAAACAGTTCGAACTATACATAATACTCATTCAACAATTACCTATTAATGATTCCATATGCAACCAAAATCTTTTTTATACATTTTTAAATATTGAGATACTGAAGTTTTGAAATTAAAAAAAAATAATAGTATTCATACTGGTTATACTTTGTTATAATTAAGCCTTTAATTATTAGCTTTCAGCTGTGTAACAACTAAAATTTTATTAATTAAAAATTTAACGTTCCAAGTCCACGAACACGGCTGAGTACAGAAATCAACAAGGATCACAAGGATCACATTCCACAAAGAGTACACAACCACCTGTAAAAACGTTGTTAAGGTAGACAACTGAAGGCGAGGTAGACAACTGAAGGTTGCGTAATTTTGGCAAGAAAGATTCAGGGCTTGAACCGTGACTGAATCTAGGTTGCTCAATAGTAACGTGTGTCTATACTATAGTGTCGCGAACTGTATTAACCTAACTTCTCCGAGCTCTGGACGCTTTTACAGTGAATAGCGAAGGGCGTGTTGTCTTCGATCTATAATACAACACGCATAACTTTAATAGTCACATGTATTTGTGTTATATCGTCGGATCAGTTCAGGTATCAGAAGTGATAGGTTCTCTTTAAATAAATTTTCTTTTGAGAACCTTGGCGACGGCTGAGTATATTCGAGCTATAAATGACATTACAACTGTTATACAATAAGTTATTTTAGTACATAAGCTTTTAGGCTACTTATGGTTCTACACTGGTTTTAATTACTAATAAAGTCAGTCATAATGTGAACTTAAAAATAAGAGTGTCATTTCATATGTTCAATTGTGTAAACGTACATTGAACAAAAACAAAAATTAAATATAAATGCATAAAGAAACAATTAATGAAATATAAGTCGTTTTTTCGCAATTTTTAAAAAAAAAATAAAAAAAACCAAAACATTTTTATATCTGTAAATTGTGACTAATTAATAATAATAAATGAATTTAAGTGAATATTAAAAGTTGTAGTTTTTATTTTTTTCTTTGTTTGGTGTATTTCCATATACGAGTACTAATTAATTATTATGCTTATTATAATTATAATCAAAAGCAAAGCCACAAAACAATATTATTATGTCCACATTGCTCCATAACCATGTTCGCCACCAGTAAATATTCTACATCCAACAGAGTCGTAGGAGTAAGTATATACAGTTGGGGCTCCGTGAGAATTTGTCTGCATCAAATAGAAATATAATTTATTATTAATATAATAATACTATAAAGGAAATAATGAAAATTTCTTACCGTAACTGATCCGACAGCACTAATATTAAATCGAGTCATGTCGTGACGTATATCACACAACGTTAACGGCTGTTCTCCACAAGTTATAATACTAAAATCGTTGAGAAAGCCGCACTTCCTAATGGACGAATCATTGGGAAAGTGGTAAACAGTTTGGCAGCACTATTGGTAAGAAAGCACAATGAAAATATATGTAATAAAAATAATAAATTTCGATTTCACTACAGAATAATATAATTATGATTCCATCTATCAATAATACGAAGCCTGACAATCAATTTCAGACAATCAGCGAGAATTTGGTAATAACTTCAGTTAATATATATAATAAAAATATAATATTTATATAATTACAAAAAATTGTGTATCTACAAATGCCTTATAAACAATTTGTAATACAAGTATATCTATAATTCAGAGAACTTACTAGTGGGGCACGTATATCATATAAGCTGAAAGAATAACTTCCGTAACTGACTAAAACGTCCCCTTGGGTTGCAACATAAATTTGGCATCTTAATTCGCGAACCACTGCACTATTCTCGAGTTGGAACAAGAGTTTTTTCTTCAAAGTCTCAACACAAAACAAATACACTTTACCTAATGCACCCATTGTGATATATTGTCCATGTTTCGCATTGTAGCATATACCACCATTCTGCAATTAAATGAATTATGAAAATACAATACAAATATGTACAAATATTTTTATTTACCAACAAAAAATCTTCGGATTTAGATTTAATACGCGTTACGGGAATATATCTATTGCTGACATATTCAAAATTTTCTTCAGAGATATCCCATATATATACAGTAGCACCACAGCTTGCCAGCAGAGTTGTGTCATTTATCCATGACACATAGAAAATGCTCATTAAATAACCCGGAGGGATGCATAACACTAATGGATTTAGCTGAGGTACTTGGTAGATCATTAGTTCGTAATCACATTTTGCTGATACAGCAATCAAAGTTTTACTTGGATTTAACTCCATTATCTCCATTCGATTATAATGCGTATTCCAATAACAAAAGTTTTCTATCTCTTGAGCATATTTTTTGTTCACATCGTACGTGAACAGCTGCAGTCATTTAGGGATTTATTGTAATAACATATTGAAGATAATGGATTACATCAAATAAGTATTAAAATATTAAACTTACCTTATTGTCACTGGTACTAAATATAACTTTATGACGACTAAGCCAGTTGGAAGACACTATGCCATGGACTCCAATCGGAAGACTAATGCGATATTCTTTTAATAATTTGCGTTGCAACAGAATATGCATTATTCCATCACTATTTACCTGGCACTTCTTCAAAACAATAAAGATTTTTTAATAAAATTTAATAAATTTGTATGCGCACAAATATATAATAAAAAATATAAAATGTAGAATAAAAACATTAAATATGTAATATATATATATATATTTTGAGTGTCAATTACCTCAGGTAAACCATTTTCCCTCGTTTCCAAAAAGTGGCATATGGAATTTGAAGTACCTGAATGGCAGTCTGGAATTTCTGCATTTGGTGCTAAACCACGAATACGACGTGACCGACGTTTTAACGCTTGTTTTGAACCAAAAGACCGATAAGACATCATAGTATAAAAACTTGGTATGTGATTATTCATTCTGTGCAAGACAATTTTTCTTTAACTCACTTTAACTTTTTGACAACTATTGTTTTCTTTCTCAAATACGAAATGAAAATTGAAATGGTTACGAAAATTCTACTAGTTTAATATAATAGATTCTTAACCTACTATTTGACAGATGAATACCAAGATTACTTGATTAAACAGTCAATGGATAATATAAAACGCCCTTTTCACGGTCCTGCATATATTGTCTATGTATGTACACTTACGATGATATATTTTCATTAAAAGACAAAAATGTTTTGATAACTTATTATTTTCATATAGCTTTATATATGTGGTACACATAAACATGGATTTTTTTATTTCTATAATACAAAAGAAGCCAATCAATCTTTATTGTTGGGGTTTTTGGTTGTACATTTCGAAAATATGTGTTTACACGTACATACTAATGGCATATGTTTACATATATGTATATGTGTACTTAATAATATAATAATAAATTATATAATTTTAGTTATATACATAAATAATTATCAAGTTCTTTTTTTGATATATAAATTTATGATATGCACATATACATAAATACATATACATAGTTATATATACAGTCAGGGACAAAAGTTTAAATACACATGCAAAATTTCGACTAGCGGACAATTTTCGGCAATTTTATCAGAAAAGAAGTACTGTTATATATCTTGTTTTGTTTAAACTTGGTTAATAGAAGTCTGAATTCGTTATTATTACCGTTTTTTTTATTGTCAGTCTAAGTTATATGAGTCATTATGGGCAAAGAAAAAGGAAGAGAGCCAAGTATTAAAACTTTAAGTTGGCTTTCATTGATGATATAAAGGACCAACAGCAATATAAGAAAATTTTGTAACAACATTTACAGCCCTCGGTGAACAAATCAGGTTTTGGGCATCATTGAATTTTCCAACAGGACAACTATTCTCAGTATACTACCCTTTCAGTGAAATAATGGCTACTTTATTATGATGCACGGTAGCATCAAAGTCTTCCTCCATTACCAGACCTTAATCCTATTGAGCATGCTTAAGCGTTAATAAAACGCAAATCGCAAATGCACCAACAAGTAGCATGGATTCACTGAAAGTAGATCTCAAGAAAGCCTGGTCTTAAGTAACGGTGTCAGAATTAGCCCAAATTAGCCCAAAAATGTCGAAAGCATAGATTTTCTATAAAGGAAATTATCAAAATTTAAAATATTTGCCATATATTTTATATATAAAACATAAATAATCAAAATTTTAGCTGTAAACGAAGATGCTGATTGGAAGTTTTTAATAAAATTTTTATTTTTTCAATTGAATATGAAATAGATTTATAAAATATGTGTATATAAATGACTTAATATATCAATTACGTATTTAATACTTTCGCTACTGGCGTGACATTTCTGGTAACCGTTAGGCTAAAAAGCTAGTTCATTCCTATAGTTATGGTAAGGTATCCTTCTTCAGCAGAACAGAGTTGAGGCTGCTGATAGGATATTTAACGGGTCACCGTGGACTGCGGTGAAAATGGGTAGATTGTCGTCTCTGTCTTGAAGCAGACGAGACTTCCACTCACATTTTCTGTGACTGCCCAGCCTGCCCAGCGAGAACTACTCTCCCCTTCTGAGGTCCTCAACGGCAGACATTCTGACTTTCATTCGGAAGAGGAATGTCTTCTGTTCGGTTAGGACCTGTCACAGTACAAGAGATCAACCGTGGTCGCGGTATTCCACTCCGATGGGAGGTAGTACCCTGTTTATTCATATTCCTATTAAGTAAATTTTATTTAAAAAAAACACAAACCGCCTTAGGTTTTTTGAAGAACTTTCCGACACATAAAAGTTTTCGCACATGCAATAAATATCTTATGTAACTTACTAAGTAAGCAGTGGAAACATTGCAATAAGACTAAGCATTTTGTTCAACTGCGATAAATTTATGATCTCTGAAAATATTTATTGATTCATTTTTTATACTTCTGAAAAAGAAGGAGCTTATTTTAGTTACTTTTTCTTAACCAAAGCTTGTGAGTGTTTATAGTATGCTTCCACTGCATACTTAGTAAGCTTAACTTACTAAGTAAATTTTATTAACCATGCAAAGAGTAAACAGAATTCGACCACACAGGGTTGATAGACTAATCAATTTTGAAGATGAAAAGAGGATATCTGCACGAAAGAGCCGTAACGGACGTAGTGACTAGTCAATATATTTATTAAACTAATAATAATTATTAGTGTTAATATTAGTTGCAATAAAACTTACACAACTTATATAATTTGTGTTCTTTTAGAAATCATTGCACGTTATTTTCTATATGCAACAACTGCTACATTTATATAACATACATTATGCATTAAATTATTTAAATTTTCTGCGTTTTTCATGCAAAATTATTTTCTTCTAACAACACAAAATGTCAGTTGTTTAATGTCAGCTGTTTACAATTAAAATGTGAACAAAGAAAGCTCTACAATTAAAAAAATTTGACACATAAAAGCTCTTTTCCATTTCATAAGTAACTTGTGCTAATGTAGGCGACAAAAAGCTCAATGGTACTAAGTAACTTACTCAGAAAGCAGCAGAAACTTAATATTACATTTTACATATAAAACATGTGACAAATATTTCAAATTCTGGTAGTTTTCCTTGTGGGAATTTTATTTTTAATGATTACATTCGATATTTTTCGTCTTAAATTAGTTAATTTATTTATAATGAGCTCATTTATATGAATGGAGAAAACTGTCTAAATGAGACCAGTGGAAGCGTGATAAAAAATCACTTTACAAATAAATTGAAATAACTACTTCTGTGTTTACATACGATTTTTCATCAATTTTATACAATATTCGAATATATTAAATAAATTGATTGACTTTCGAGAATTACTCTCCATTTTCAAAATGTGTTTCCTTTTATGGAAACCCATATATATAAGGGGTATTCACTCTCTCTTGCAAACTCATTGCAAGGTGCACGAAATGCACAGATTGTACGAGAATGCAAATAACAACAACAAAATACACGCACAAAATTTCGTGCAATTGCGTGCAATCTTCCAATGCTGAAACCTATGTATATTTGCTTGCAACAAACCAGAAATGGCGGAAATCAGCTGTTTTTCATTTGTTGCTTCTCATTTTTAAATTTGAATTGACTGTTAGTAAAATTTCGAGATATGTTAATCTATGGCTATGCTATATACATGCGTTTCGTTCAATAATTTAAATCGATGTGACCATTAATTAAGTTTTCACAAATATAATATTATATACATATACATTTGTGAATTAATTTATCTATTTATCAATTTCAGCGAAACTTACGAAAATTTGTTCACATTTTGAACTATTGAATGAAGTGTTTGGACGCATGTCTAATTTTGTACGGAAACATTGCCATAGCCACCAACTAGTTCTGCGCTAGGCAACGAAGTTTTTTTTATTGAATCGTCTGCAAACAACACATCATCCAGCTCTGCACCGAAAGTCGTGCGTTCTGCTGTGCAAAGCCCCACTACCCCCTCGATAAAAAATATAACAAATAACAATAATAAATTAAGAATTAGTTATATTTTTATTATAACAATTATTTTTATATTATATTATTATTACATATATCTCCAACAACAAATAATGTAGCGACTTTACGAATAGCCGCATTTTCGCCTGATGAACCCAAACGATATAAAACAATAGCAATCCTTAATAGTTTATTAGTGAGATTATTAAGGAAAATACGTTCCAATTTACTCTAAGCATCTGATAAAAACGGCCTTCATCAAATTCTTGAAGAATGGTAGATCTCCATTGAATAGATTTTGGTACGGGTTGGTGATTTCTGTGATGGTTTACTAAAGTAAACAAAAGGTCTTCATTTTATTGCTCCATCACTTCCCAGTAATTTGCATCATCTAACAAATAGAAACTATATAGTAGTGAAAACTACATTAACAACATGTTAATACCTTCAATCAGAATATTAAAAGCACTATTTTCAATAAAAAAATCTATACATTTTTGTATTTCACTTGTTCGCGGCATTGTTATACTTTTATTTTTCTTTGCTCAATTTGATACGGCTGCAAAAACAGCTGATTCATTTTGATGATGCAATTCTGCAACAGAGGTGTTCTCGCAGTCTTGCAGTTTTTGTATAGCATTCTTGCATTTCGTGCTCCTTGCAATGAGTTTACAAGAGAGAGTGAATACCCCTATACTTTTATGGTTTATAGTGAACTTTCAATCGTGTTCTTTTTCTGAACACAGCAACAGAAGAAAACGTCTCTTATATTATTGTGAACGGCTAAATCTAACTCGATTCACGAACACATAAAGCAGCAATCAGTGCGTTTGTAAGCCGATTAATGAAAAAGTGCAAAGTTTTTTAGTTATGATTTTATTACAAGTTATCCAGAATATACTACTGTACTTCATTCAGTATTTAGCAATGAATTACGTTTATAAATTGTTGACAACTATTTACCTGTACATCTTACTGACAACGATTTATGTAGTTCAATTTGAGATAACGAAGGACCTGTTCCAATTTCTATCAAGAATTTTTCTATTCGAATTTCAATTGATGGCGAAGATTTACATAATCCAATTTATAGTCACATTTAACCTCCTCAAGTTGATGATATTGATTTACACCATTAAATTAGTTACAATAACTTACTTGTTTCGTTTGCTGACATCGATTAATCAATAGCAATTAGCAACGTTAGTCTTCCTGCTCCAATGGCTAAAAACAATACTAATTTGCATTCTTGCTTAAATACTTACAACAATGTATCAATTCCAATTGCTAACAATGATTTATCAGTTTTTAATAACGATTTGACCGATTGATATATGCCGAAATTGTCACGAGGTTACAGCTATGGAGATTGCGACGACACACAGCAGTTCCAATATATTCCATAATTCAACGCAATGTCAATTGAAGAAAATAAATTAATTTATTGTTATGTATTAAGCATTGTATTTCACATTAATAAAAAACTTTTAAATACATCACCCAAGTTTATAACATACAACTGATATATACTCTAACTAGCTTTGTATATGAATAAGGACAATTCTGCGAATCCAAAGGCAATTCCTTCTCTTGTTGTTGAAATATATTTTTACGCCAATATTATGCATAACTTATTTATTGATACTTCTTTACATGGGCTTAAGCATTATTGTGTTAACATGAGTAAACAAAAAATCACCTATCCAATAAAGGTCTAAAATACCGGTGCCTCTATCCAGATTTTATTCTCATGGCGGATGTGCTTAAAAATTTCTGATATCACAACGAGCACGCTTTTGAGGGTAAGTGAGCATGTATACCATGAAACGGTATACATATATTTAAAATCTATATAAAATACATAAGTATGTAAATATTTATCGCCGAAGTTCTTTTCTAAGACTCAGGGTAAAAATTTTTGAACTCTAATATATACTATTGAAGAATACCATGTTTCCACTACAGCTAAAACTTCTTATGTTAGTCTAATTAATATTTGGTCGTTTCCATTGGCATGAGCTGATTTATGCATGTGAAAGAGCTTTTATATATCAGAAAGTTCTGCAAAAGTACCAGGAGAGATTTTCTCTGACAACATTTCAATTATTAGCAGATAATGTTCAATTTCGAAATTTAATTAATTCGGCATGGAAAACGCAGAAATGACGAATAATTTAATATATATTATAAAGTTTGTGAAATTGTTCACAATATGAATAAAGCAATAGATGAGTACAGTAAACAACATGCAATGCATCGGAAAATATTAATGATTATAAGAATCAACAAATAGCATTACTTTCCCCTAAATTATTTTTTTAATTATCTATTGCATATTTAATTTATGAGGACAAAAAACATTATTAAATACCAACAAGTTCCTTTTTTTGCCATTAAATTTTTGAACTCTTGTCCATTTAAAATAAACGAGCTTCAGTTAATAGTACTTAACACTTGATTGATATATTTAGTCATTTATATATATATCTATTTTAAATATCTATTATTTATTTAATTAATAAAAACAATAATTTTGTAACACTTACTTTCTCTTTCTTTCTCTCTTTCTTTATTTGTTTACATTTTACATATAAAACATATGATACACTTTTCAAATTTTGGTGATTTCAGGGTGGCATTCGACATTTTTCGCTTTAAATTAGTTTATTTATTTATAATGAGCTCACTTACATAAAATCTATTTGTAAAGAAAATTATTTTCATTAATGTGTATCCTTTATGTGTACGCTTCAATGTGTAAAACTGCCTAAATGAGACATGGTACAACAGAGAAATTTTGGCGACAACACACAACAATCTTTTGAAAGTTGTTTTGAAAGATTTTTATTTTAATTAATTTATTTTATTACAATCTGTTAAGTATGAATAACAATAAGTAAAATATACTACGAGCTTAAATAGAAAAGCGGACTATGACATATCCATATATACTTAAAATAGAAATTTCTGACCTACTTATACATATCTAAGACATCTCTCTAAGTTTTTCTTCTAAGCCTTGTAGAAGTGTTGGAGAGGAACATTTCGGCCAGTATAAGCCAGCAACTTACTATTGCTTGTCATACTTGCAAGCCACCGAGAAAACGCCTAATATGATATATAAAAATAGTAAACACTACAAATTAATTAACTTAAATAAAAGCAATCAAAATGAGCATTAGAAGGGCAAAGGTAAGCATTTTTATCTTGTGTACTTAAATTTACTTTCTTATATATGTTTTTGAACTTATTAACATACCAAATGAAGCACTATGAATGAAGGAGGACTGGAATTTTGGAACATATTTCCAGTGAACATTCACAATAGTCTGATTTTTGAATTTGGCTGCACTAAAACTTAAGATGTTTTTTTTTGTTGTGAGTAAAACCTAACTATGAAGATTTTAAGAGCATTGTCATTGCTTCACATGTTTTCTCTCGTAAGTTTCGAGTATTTTTTTGCTACTCGGAAAGAAAAAATTACAGCAAATAATTATGAATTGTGAATCTTATGACTATTCATCATTTTTGTAATAAAATTAAATACTTTAGTTGGTTGCGGTAGTGATTAACAGATGTTTTTAATTTCCACACGAAAACACTAGCACTAAATAGCTTTTTATCACGAATTACAAATGTCAAACTTTTTCTGAGAGACTTTTGTGGCAGAATAGCGAAAATCTTACAAATCGTCTTTTGTTCTTCTTGTTTGCCAGAATTGCCCTGTAAGTCCTATAAAATCTTTTAATTAAATTATTTTTTATTATGAGGTCAGTATATGGTAGTCAATTGTTAGCCTTGCCTTCCCTGTAAAAAATTCCTCCTCATTGTTTTGCATTTGTAGCAATTTATTATCCTTTTAAATAATAAATATTAAAAAAGTGAGAAAATATTTAAAAAATATGTATATAAGCTCTACCACTACATAGAATTTTACTCCGAAAGCATTTGAATTTTTTTTGTGAACTTCCTAGCAAAATGTACTTGAAAGTGGTAAAATATTAAAATAAAACCATAAAAAATTTTAATCAATGTTTTAATTAATTACCGACAAAAACCGCAGGAAAAAGGTGAATGCAGCAACTGCATTCTTTTCGCATACTTCAAGGAAGCGCTGCTGATGTTGATGTGGCGTTCATCCGTTCATCCGTTCATCCTTGCGCGGTTGAAATGATTTTAAAGGAATTTTTGCACAGCTTTTGTGGCAACTTACAATGCAATTTATTTACTGAAAAATTATCTTACAACAAAATGAAAAATAATACTACTATACATACATTAAATTCTTGCTCTTATACACACAGCGGTCGTTTGTGGTACATCTAAGCAGCTCATTTTCGCATTCTCTGAAGAACACAAAACAGCAATGCAACCACACACTATGAAATTCCATTAGATACAATTTTAACTAAATTTATTTAATTCGTTTTATAATTATAGAGGAATTAGGCTTTTCCACCACTGTAACATCACTGGCGGCTACCAATCAGCAAGTCTGTTCAGATCCGTAGTTGCTTTTTAAACCACCCACCGTGCCGACGAGCGAACTTGCACAACGTATGTATATATGTAGGCATGATATAACATAGGTACATACGTTTTGCACGTACAGATGTATCTTGTTTTAACAACCATTTGACTATGTCTTTGAGAATGATCCATCTGCTATTGCAATTGCTTGTACCCTGCTGCAATAGGACAAGTGACATTGTGCAATTGTTGTTGTTGTTGTTACACTTGTGTGACCTAAATGCATTTATAATGCAACTGTATATGAACTGCCACACATCAAAGTGAGTAAGCTGTGATGGGGTTGAGAGACAATTTTCCTTCGGGTTTATATAGGTTAATTGATTTATAAGCCTTTATCGTGACAAATTAAGTAACAAAAAATTAATATACAAACTTAATCAACTATTTAAGTGTTCTAATCATTCCCTTCGACGCTCATCAAAACAAAATTATCAATTTAAACTCTTTTGTTGTTCCAAAAAAAAATTATGTTAAAAGAATCAAACAGATGATCCCGAGGATGCGTGCTTAAATCTTCTGAATAAAGTTTTAAGGATGTATATTATGACACAAATGTTTACGACTTAAAGACACTGCAGCACATATTTGACGTGCAGTAATTGTTGACAAAGCTTATCTTGCACTATCTCCAAAAAGGCGCTTCACATATGGTAAGTAAAAATATGCATAACAGATGTTTCTGCAAAAAGATTATCACTCTTAATATTTAATCGTTCATTCTTAACTGATTACTTATCTCAATGCTAAGAACAGGAAGCTGATGTATAACCAAATAATTCGTCCGTCACTTCTATATGGATGTGTAGCGTTTAGCAAAGCTTCAAACATTACTTTACGCTAGCTAGAAATTGCACAAAGACAAGCTCTGAGAAGACTTTTAAAGGTACCATGGTACATAAGGACGAATGACATCCTCAGGACTTCAAGATTGATCCCATCAAAAAACACATAAAGGATAGAGCCCAGAAATTATTTGCGAAAACTGACAGGCTTACTAACACCGCGTTATTGAATTTCAGAATGGTAATAGGCTCCTCGGAAAGGTATGCAGATTTAAGATCAATTATTGCTTAGGCTGATGAAGTGATAAACATTAATCCAGTCATGGCGTAAAGAGGGGTTTTGAAGACACCTGGAGTTAATAAAGAGTGAAAGTGCTCAAGTACACTCGCTCAAATAGCTTCAACATAAACTTACCGCCCGCTACACTTCGTTCATGATTCACCTTGTATTATATATACTGGTACCGAACAGTTCAATTTAAAATGTAGAGTTACTACATATTTTATTGATACTATGTTTTTATCTTTCTCTCAACTACCTCCCACTCTTGTAGACATAATATTACAAGCCATTTACCATTAACCATTATAAATATTCAGTCCATTTTTTCATATCTTATTCAGGAAATAGGGAACTTACAGTACACCCACTTCCCTAGAATAAGGAGAATTGTCACAAATAATGGCCTTTTGCTCCAGATTAAGATTCATGCCTCTTCAGATGATATATATATCATATATATCCTTTTTGATTGATATAAGTATGATCTATTTAAGTATTAAGGTGAGGAATTACTCTAATTAGTAAGTTAGTAACTAGTTTTTGTCTTTAGTATATCCTGAAATTAAGGAATCGTCCTATATATTGTGCTATGCAATGAATTTACAATTAGATGAATTTGAATCCAAATAAGCTTTTTATTTGTTTGTTATTTGTGTAAACGTTAAATTAATCATTGTGAAATTTATGGTATTCTCAAATATATCTAATAATTTTGTGTGAGTGAATTTTTTAATTACTTGTAATTTTTATCAAAATTTCAAATTTGGTTGTTGTTATCTTCTCTCAATAATTATTGTGACACTAGCTTCTTTTATGGAGAAAGTCCTAACAAATTGCCATGGTGTTGTTATAAAATTGCCTCAAGATTTTCCGAGTTCCGAGCCTCTTCTTTTTATTTTCAAGTCTTTTTTATGGTTTTAGTGTTGTCAGTTGGTACAAAAATTGGATTAAAGTAAGCGTGGAACGACCAGGCATCTTCTCACCATAAATACCAAATTGAACCCAATCTATACGCGGCAGAAATTGCTAAATAAAACACAAAAAAAAAATATAAAAATAATAACTGTATATAATAAAGTATAACTATATATATAAAAGTATAACAGTGAGAGAGAGAAAATCTTATTACATTCAGTATTTTTGCTGATATTGCGTGCACAAATCCTTGCTGGTTTGGAATAGATGTGTCTTGGAAAATTCCGTTATCTGAAAGTCATATTTACAGTTTTATATTGTATATATATATATATATTATTTATCAATTTCAAACACACTTATTTACAAATAGAAAAATTATTTTATAAACAGTAAAAGTTCTCTTAAGCGGACAACAACCGCACAAGCATTTACTTCCGAGTTATGGAGCTGAACATTCCAAAAAAATGTACTTTGTATGAAAAATGAAAAAATGAGACGAGCAATATTCTACGATTAAGAACACATGACTGTTTATAAGAATGCCCATTCAACAGAGCTTTCACTATAGTTTGGCTTTTTAATGAACGTTTCTTTATTCAACAATCCACAAAAAACTTTGACGCTTTTTTAAAACATGTTCATGCTCCATTAAAACATTTCAACGTTTACTTAAAATTTTCCAAAAACTTTTTGAAACTTTTAATGATAAAATTATAGTGATTTTTAGTTAAATGCAGTTTTCTATATTCATTTCACTAGTTTCAGATTATGATCACTTACTAAATCTCACTCGATCGTATAGTTGCCATAGAGGTAAACGCCGCATACGGTTTCCAGTAATCCAACCAGCAATTTTGAACTCTTTCCACATTTCACAAGAGTTCGAAAAAATGCCGGTAATGCCGTCTTCCAAAGTACCATCTATTTCAGCCTCCAGTGCTCTGATGTCAATAATTAAACGTGGCTTATAAGCATACTGCGCGTATAACAATGTCTTCATACCTGACCTATCAGGATCCTACATAATACATACAATATTAATCCATAAATTAAAATGTTACTATTAATATACACTTTTGTTTACTTACTGATATAAGGAATGATGTTTTGTTGGAGGGTTTATTATCAATATTAGTACAATGTGACATGTTTGCAGTATATGAGCAGAGCGGTATGACGACTGACAAATTGATAGGGAGACGAAGTCCTGCTGAAGCCTGTAGAACGGCTATTACAAGAGCTGCTCCAGCCATAGAGGTGCAATATTTGTCATAACAACAACAATGAAAGTCATCATCACTAAAATAAAATATTATATATTTTTGACTACTCAAATATTGCAGTGTCACAAAATTACGCATTAAAGGTGATGCCTTTTGCATAAAGGACTACAGGTCTTTCTTTCGGATCAGTTCCCCAATAGCTAGCTTCTAAAATAACTGGTGGTTCCTTTGAAATTGGGTTTGTTATTCTTAAAAACGAATTCAATGCCGTAAACTTCATCCAATTTTCGGAACGTGTATTAACAGTAATTCCGTATCTCATTAGAATATCAACAGCACCTTCCAAAAAGTTTAACGCTGTTAATTCCGAGTTAAGAATTTCTGTTAAAAATCTCGACAGTATTTGTGATTCAGCTTTAAACTCTCCGCTCCTCCATTCTTCTTCATCGTTATGATCCAAAAATTGTATTCTTGGTAGTAACGATGTATTCTCCATGTTATCAAGCTTTTCTTGCCACATCGCTAAGGTACTGCCAACAGCGGCTTGTTGTGGGAAATCCATCGAGTCTACGAATATCACATCACATCCATGACGTTGGAGACAACGTGCACCAACTCCTGCTGCAATGCGTACATTTTCCTAGAAAATATAAAAGCATGGCTTTCTAAAATTTTAACTTGAAAAACTTTATCTATTGTTCTTTTTATAGTCACAACATTTCACGATACACATATATATATGCAGATTAGTGTGATCAATTTAAACTTACCAAACCTTCGTCAATCATACCACATTCATCCAAACCTATGTCTTCGGGACCGACTCCAACAATTGCGATATTTTTAAACTCTTGGTGAATATTTTTTAGAATAATCCCCTTTGACAGTTGACCAGTTATTTCACAACTGCAATTTTATGTCTTGAATTTTACTTAGAACAAGGGAAAGCTACATTACTTACCCATTAACAATTTCGGAGAGTCCACCCGAACAGATATCATCAACCTTTTCTCCAATGGGTGTTAATTTTGGGGAATTTGAGTCATCGTCCTCAAAAATACCGATAACAAAACCATGCTACGAAATGTGACCCAATAATTATAATAAGTGCTGTAATAAAACTATTGTACTTACTTTTGATTGATCGTTCGAGTTAAAGCGTATTTGGCGCAAAAAAGTGGACTTTACTAATCCAAAACACCTCTTGAAGCTCATGACGAAATCAATCAATTTAATTTCAACTAAATAATTATTTCCAAATTAAATATATTTAAATTAACATAAATACATTGCAATTTGTGAGAGATGATAAAGTCTGCACATAAATTTTAATAATTGAAAATTTACTGAAAATTATTGTTCATTATTAAAGCAAAAAAAAATATATATGAATAAGGATGAATTTATTTAAAGATTTGACATTATATTTTGATAGATATCTCTCAGATTTAGTTTGACAAAAAATTTTTATTAACACAAATGACAAATGCTTTCGGTATTTTAGAGGCCCATACACTGGATAACCAGTTTGCAGAAGTTTAATGCTTGATGCTTGTAGTGTTCGCTATATATCAGTATAAAAGTATTATATGGCATTTATAATCGTTTTCGGTTGGTAAATCTGGATTAAATCTAGATTTACTCTAGATCTGTCAAATTTTGTTGTCCACTCGAATATTTTTAGAATAATCTAAAATCTAAAAGTCTGTTATTTATACTATCCAAATCGACGCTATACATGAAAACAACAATTATAAATATCCTGAAATAAAATACGATAATCATATAATATTTGTTGTCGGAATCTCTAACTAAATTGATTTTAGAATAAACTCAAAGTTATATCAAAAATTAAATGATGGACAAGACAAGTGCACAGGTCGAAATTTGTCGTCATATAATCATATTGAAAGCGAGTTATAGTATCCTAAGGAAACTGTTGGATAATATTATATGTATATACCTCTATATTTCAAATAAGTTGAAATATTTATTTAAGTCGTATTTGTTATATGATGAAAATACATGATAATATTCACATAATTTATGTTGAGAGTAAATTCCCGAGCTCCTTATTGTCTAGAGTTAGCAATGAAAGTAAATATTTTATTTCCTGTTCAACTGTGATAATTTTATGATCTGTGAAAATATTCATTGATTCATTTAATGTACTTTTATATACTTTTATACTTCTTGGTTGACTTTTTCTGAAGCCAAATTTTGTGTTGTCCTTGAGCGTTTACAGATCAAGCAATATTGTGAGGTACGTAAAGAAAACTTTACAGTTGACACAAAAAAATTGCATACCAAACCCAAGATATCCTTAATTTTTTTTTTTTGAATTTTTATGTACACTTTTTTTTTATTCCAAATAAAGTTTTTAATATGCAACATTTTGTGAGCTCGCATCACATTACATCAACTCAAAATGCATACACCTCCAGTTGGACTAAAGTGTCCCATTGCTCGGGGCAATGTTAAAAGGTTAATGCTATGCATTTATACCGAGTCACCTTTGTGCTTCGCTGCGTTACTTCAATATTCCATTGTGTTTCTACTAGAACTTCACATTTAGTTAATCTATTTTGTCGTATAGAAACTAATATTTATATTTTAATTAATTTATTTTTTTTTTCTTTAACACGTATACTGTCAGAATTTATATTTTTTTGAACCGTCTCTTCTGTTGACGTAGCTCCTGTCGTACTCGTGCAGTGGACAGACTATGGTAGCGCGTATTTAGTCCCAAAATGAAAGGTCGTGTAAAAATTTACATGTTGCAGTCTATGCAGGAAATGGATTTAAATCGCTATGATTTAGACGTGAAGTTTTTGTATTAATGGCGGCAAATTGACAAGATTTATAGCCATTTAGGAAAATAAGCCGTTCTCTTTGGCTATCTTCTTGTCGTTTGAATGTTTGTTCGATAACAATGGATGAAAATTATACATGAACACAATGTTTAAATATATCGGGAATGCCAGAGTCTGTGATTGAAACTTGCAATAAAAAAAAAATTTAATTTATATATAAATAGCGTTATTTACTAAAAAGTTTTTTCAGGAGAGTCCAAAGACTAAATAATTAATATGAAGTTAATTATCAATATCAGTACAGTTCTATGTAAAGGCATAGAAAGTGCTTAATGAATTCTATCACATCTCTATATTTTTATTTTGGAATACGCCACTGTTGAAGCATGGTCGCAATAGCACAATGTCCTGTTAGCATTCTTAAAGTTCACTTGAATCCTAAGTGAATAACATATAGGCGTCAGATGATCCATATTTATTTTCAGAGTAAAATATATTATTATTATAAACGTAATAACTAATATTAACATTATATTTATTATTTATTATTAAGTTGTTATTAAAGCATATATGACTTAATGTTCATTGCAATCGTAATAGCAAAATATTTTTATAATGCATATAGTAGATTAAAGAACGATACTAGAAAATAATGAATTGATAGGTTTGTTTTGTTTATAAATTTTTATGATTTCATTACAGTTTCTGCTTAAGCGTGAGAACATAATGAACACTTGTTTTCGGATAGCTAGTTATTGGAAAAATAAACATAACCACTAAGTATGAACTATCGGCGTCAATCAAATCAAAGAATCTCAATCAAAGAAAATATCTTCTCTCAATACTGACTTAAATTATGCTTAAGTCAGTTTTGTGACTTAAGCTACGACTAAATAATTGAGACTTACAAGTGCAAGCAAGCAGGCAACAAGCATACTATGAGTGCGGTCCCATTAGAAATGGGATATAATGTAACTTGTCGCTACTTGTTGGTCAGCGTTTCAAAATAAGAGTTCTTTATGTTTTCTTCCTTACCAGCAATACTGCTGGACCGAAGTGTTTATTTCTATTAATGGTTTTGAATACAGATCTGATTTAAGAAAGTTCTATTTTCTATTTAATTGTTAAAATAATTAAATAATTTACGTGTATCTTCGTGTAATTGTATGGATTTTAACTCTTGATAACTATACTGTACTATACTATACTGTACTATACTATACTGTACTATACTAGACTGTACTATACTATACTATACTATACTGTACTATACTGTACTATACTGTACTATACTATACTACACTATACTATACTATACTATACTATACTATACTATACTATACTATACTGTACTATACTGTACTATACTATACTGTACTATACTATACTATACTATACTATACTATACTATACTATACTATACTGTACTATACTATGCTGTACTATACTATGCTGTACTATACTATGCTGTACTATACTATGCTGTACTATACTATGCTGTACTATACTATACTATTGATTACTGTACTAACGATTATGCTACACTTCGTAGGCTTTAAATTTTTGTATATATACAGCGCTGGTTTAATACTTCAGCAAGGTTTATAGTGCTGTTATATGTGTGTCTTCCCTAAATACCTGTTATATCTTCTTTAAATTTCTTTTGTGACTTTATTGTGTATGTGTTTTTATATATTCCAGCTATAAGAGATTATCACGAAACATGCCTTTTTCCGTTATTATAATAAAACAATTAGCGTCAATAAAAATTTAAGGAGAAAAGGATAAAAATAATGAAGCCTTTAAAAAACATAAAATATTCAGTGAAAGAAGTTTTTAAAACTATAATTCAAAAGTTTTAAAAATTTTTTTATTCTTATTTTTATTTATTTTATTTTTTTGCTTCATTCTGCTTCTATTATTCCGACTTTAACAATTCTAAATAAAAACAAAACATTTTCCAAAACGTATTCCATAAAAGGTACCACCAGCACGTCTAGGAGAAGTAGTCCGTGTACCGGCTCACCTTCGCTCGGCCTCAACTTTCTTTCGCCAGCATTTCTGTGTTTGGTTAATGGTTTAATACTTTTGCGAACGCATTTACGCGTTGCCATAAAATGAACATTTTAATTGCATTTAAGCCATTTTTCATGAAACTCATCAACATCGTTAAAATGTCAAAATGGCTGAAGTTAAGCATAAGCAAAATGACATACCAAATCAGCTTATGAAAGTGCCATAAAAATTTTGTGAGTAAATTTAATTTATAAATAAACCAAAACAAAAGTCCTGCAACTTTAATGCTTCAACAAATTTCAACTAGTATTTCCGACACAACCCACTTAGGGATTAAAATTTCCATTTCCATTTTCATATTCAAAATTTTTAATAATTAACAGCAATTCACTTCTATTTATAAAACTTTTATTTATTTATAAAAGTAAAGACTACCAAAATTTCGTTTCTAGGTTCACGAAGAAGCAGAGAAGAAGGGAAACAGCGATGGAGAGCACTAAATGTATATTATATATATACATTCTAACCTGAGTGGTTTGTTGTTCGGGGAATAGGGTGGGTCACATTGAATAAGTTTTGTATATTTTTAATTATATATAAACAATTAACTGATGTCCAAACTAATAGGCTATTTCAAAGCAGAAAACAATATAAGTTCTATATAATATTTATTGTTATTATTCCATTATTCCATATGTTATCATTATATCCATATGTTATTGTTATTATTCCATATGTTATCATTAGCTAAAAAAAAATGTTGGTTTATTTAAAATCAGGAATCTGTTCAAAACACGCACTACCCTCGCTTTCGTCGAGTAACCTACTTCAGACATACTGTTAGGGATTAGCATTTCCCCATTACACTTCGTCAGTTCATAATAGTATATTATCTTTTACCTTTCTTTTGGACAACGTAAAGCCACTTGAAATCTTTTAATTAAATTTAAAGGTGTCTTGACTAAACATTTATAGATTATTTCTTATACTTATAAATAAATGCGGGTCCGCTAAACTTCGGTAGGGACGCACTATTACCGAATACCTCATAGTTAGCGATACTGCTGTATATAACTACCATGCACAGAAGTAACAAATCCGTATTAATAACCAGTAATTAACTTAACACACTAAAGTTTAAACTTGGATAGAAACATATAGTTGATCTCAACTGTCAATAAGCAATTGACGTGGTTAATAATAAATACTATCTGTTAAGTTAGTTTGCCACTGGAACAACAAGCAAAATATTTGACTTCAAAGTTAATTATTTTTTTTTTTTTATCATCCTTTAATTAGTTGCTTTTAATATGCTTTTTCGATAACTAAAGCAAAAAAAATTATTGATTTTAATTCATATAAAATAGTAATATATTTACACAAATCCGATTAACTCAACATATGTATGTGCATCTATGTGCTACGATGATTCGAGTATATTTAAGCAATATAGCCTTTATTTTTATAATCACGTTATTAGC